AGCAAACAGCTGCTCCCTCTCCTGCCCTGGGATCAATACGTGATCCATAAATAGGCTTAAATGTCTCGCTCTGACTCCCGTCTGTTCCTCTGCAGTACGGCATCGATGTGAGAGCGAAGGATAGCCAAGGCCAGACGGCCATGATGATGGCCAGGAAGACGGGGAGCAAAGGCTGCATGGATATTCTGCTCCAGCACGGCTGCCCCAGCGAGACGTCGCCCACCGCCTCCGCCGCCACGCCCATCCTCGCCCGCCGCTCCAGCACCGCCAGCCTGGGCCGGACCAGCTCCAGGAAGCGGGTGTCGTAGCCTGGACTGAACCGCGGCCGGAGGCCCGGACGGCGGCCGAGCTGACTGTGGAGGGGTGTAGTATAACGAAACGATCAAACACGTGTTTTTTCTGAAGACTGAACAACATATCAAACAACTTATAAGCAATATTCATTCAGTTTGTTGATGACAGACATATTGCTGAAATACTGTGTTGTTGTTGACCTCATCTCAAACCGACTCCAGTAGAACTGTAGCTGTCTCCTGTAACGTTAGAGCAGAAACTCTCAACCTGCTTCTGTTTCACTTCCACCACAAGAAGTGCAATAATCCAGCTACGATGACGAAAAGCAACAAGTTTTAGTGTCGAGCGACGACAGACTCAGTACGAGGAGAGGTTGATGCTTTTGTTCAGATTTGTTGTGACTGGACCAAAACTGCTGTTTCTTTTCTTTTTTCTTTTTTCTTTTCTTTTCCTTTGGCTTTACAGATGAAACCTACGATATGTCATGTTGTTAGTTCTGTGTCAGTTCGACCAATATAAACTGTTTTTCAGTGAAGATTCCGCTGAGATAATTCTGCTTAGACTAGAAAAATGAATGGTTTGGATTATGAAATATGTCAGTGTTACAATCACAGGTCCGACATACGCCGTTTTAATATGCTGTAAATGTACCTATACTACATACTTAATGTTAAACTCTGTAACAAAGACACAACCGAAGAACCAGACTCGATTTTTGTAAATGATTTCTTACTGGTAGTTTTAAACGATGCGTTGCTTGTTTTTTTTCATTGTCTTTTATAATTTCCTATTCTCCTACATGTCATGAACCAGTGAACAGATGGTTTTACATACGTGGCTATTTGTTGAAAGTTTAATTTTTGGGATTTAGCCGAGAGACTTTACATGAAGACATCACTCGCGTTCATATTTACTGTTGTGTAGGTTCGATCCCATGAGTTTACAGTGAAGTACGAAGCGGTCGCAGGTGTCCTCCCGACACTTTGTGGGTCATGTGAATCCCTCATGAGCTAAAACAAATGGTTACTGGAATAAAATAAACTTTTTTTAATTAGCATTAATACAGTTGTGTTTGATTTTGTTGTTGTTTGTGTTGAAATTTCCGCCCTGTGTCAGTATTCCTCTGGAGCAGTGGTTCTCAAACTGAGGGTCCCAACATCACTGTAAGAAAATAAATAAAAATAAAGCTTACATTTATCATATAAATGTGTATTAGGGCTGTCAAAGTTAAAAGTGTATACTTCTTCCCACACCTTGTTAATATTTTGTTTTGATTATGTGATATTATTATTCTTTTTCACTCTTTTAAAAATTGTTTTCTTTTGTTTTTATACTTTTTTCCTCTTTCATTCGTTCGAAATAAACTCAATTCATTCATTCATTCAAAAGAAAATTAACGTGTTCATGTAAAGAGATTAATCTGTGGAGTTAACACAGTAATTTTTAACACATTAACGCATGAACAACTAAGTTATTACTCATGAGATATAAAAAAAATTTCAAATTAAGGGTCACTAACTTGTGTTATCTTGGAGGTCGTGGCTCAAAAAATTTGAGAACCGCTGCTCTAGAAGTTTAAAGTTTTCAACATTTACCTTAAAACTGGCAGAAAATGTGTATTTTAGTAAGTCAGCATAACTGTTCCATGACACACACCCTGCTTGATCATCTGTTTGACTTTAAATGTAATTTACAAAATAATCATCACGATGCACTGAAGGAGGCTTCAAACCAGCCGGTGCACTTCACGCCCACCAACACCCTGAGACAGAAACTGGTCCGCCCTCAGGACGAGACACCGAGACATGCACAGAGCAACGAGGTGGAGGCAGTCCAGTGCAGCGAGGACGCCCAGACCTGAACGCTCAGCATCCCACCTGCATCCCAAGAACAAAGGACACTCATTTGAAGATAATAATGTACAGATGTTGACCAGGGAGGACAGATGGTTCCAGAGAAGGGTGAAAGAAGCCATCTAACTGGAAAGACCATCCCTCAGCAGAGGTGGAGCTCTCAGTCCTAAGATCTCTCTCCAGGAAGATGAAACCACATCCACACCTAGACACAAAAGACCCTAACGAACCCCATTGTGGCAGGAGGAGCACTGAGGACTCACATAACGAAGGGGAGGAAACCGAAACTCAGGTGTTAATGTCTCCTTCAGGATATCTGGAACTCCCAACTGGTCAGTCAGAGCTGATGAAGCCTCTTGGACGAGAGGTGGAACGTCTTCAAGGAACTCAAGCAGGTCCAGTTGCTACGAACCACGACCTGGATGACTGAGAATCTTCACAGACAACCATATGAAGGCTGAGGCTGCAGCTCCTCCTCCAGCCTGCAGGGGGCGACGCGACGCCGCTTTGTTGACATACGTCACCAACGTGCGACGGACAATATCAAAGCTTCTGATGGTAAAATGTAGGATCTGTGAAAAACCAGTGGAGTCCGACTGAAAACTAAAGAAAAGAGACCGTTGACCTCCGAATACACACGCATCCCAATGGGTGAGTGGTTCTAATAACAGAACCGAGACGTCTGCGGGTAGAACTGGATAAATATGTGAAGGAATAAATCAGTTAAATCAGTGTTGTAGCTGCTGCTGGGGACAGAGTTGCTGTGATGTGTCTGGACTGTCTGGGATAAAAAAAAACTGTCTGAGCTCCGACATGTTCTGATAAACTGCTGCAAACAAAATAAAACGTAAAGTCAGAGTTTAAAAATACAGACAGCAACAGAAACGTTGGTTAAAATGAAATATGAATGTGTGACAGTGACCCAGGATGTGCTTCATTTACTGTGTGTTCAGGAAAAATAGGACATTTTCTCAAAGTGTTTAATGGCAAAAATACTTGACTTAATACTTGAATGATTGATTAATAGCTGAGTCAAGATGGCAAATAAAAATTAATGTAATTTCAGTTTTACCTTAACAGCAGCCTGAAACTGTTAGCTGGTTAATTGATTAATTAATTCAACAAAAACTGCTTCTGGTTCCAGTTTAATTTCCGGGTTTTATATCAGTAAACAGGATGTTTTAGGGTTTAGGGTTGGACAGAAGTGGCATCGATTAGGGTTCTGCAAAGTAAAAATGGAATTTCTTTAAAACTAATTTCCATTTAACTGATCACTTATTCAGGAGAATCGTAGCAGACTGATTGATAATGACAGTAATCTTTGCAAAAATCTTAGTTTTATTTGCTGGATCCCACCAACGTGTGTGAAAGAAGGCAGTCACCTGAAATTGGTTGAAATCCGGCTCACCTACAGCAGATAATTGGTTCAATATTATTCAGGAAATCCATGAGATGGAAAGACTGACTTTCCTTCTTAAACTTAAAAAAGACTTTTACGTGGCAAAGTGGAAGAAACTGACTTTATTTCTTCGGGAAAAGAGGGATCGGCGTGGTGGCAGTTTTTCCCTCCTTGCGTTCTGTATTTTCTGTCTGTATGTTGGCTAAGACAGACGTCCACAGGCTGTGTGTTACTGTCACATCTCCACCTCCTCTTACAGCCCTGGAGCTCTCTCTGGAGCTTATGTTTGTCAAATGGACTCGTGTGAGTTGGTATGGACCGGTAGCTACGGCCATGCACCGTGCTGTTGGTTGTCGTTATAAAACTGCAAATAAAAATTTAGGCATTAAAAAAAAAAAAAATTCTTCTCACTTTGTACAGTTTGCAGACTTCATTTTAGTTCATTGTGAGCAGAATGTCTTTGAGTTTTGGCCCAAACGAGCTTTTTAAGACGTCCTCATGTTATGTGAGCAGTTCTGCAGTTTTCACTCTGTTCTGACGTTTGATAGAAAATCATCAATACATGGATCAGTGCTGAAAACAGTTCTGTAGATTCAAGGTTAAAGCAGTTTGTTATGTCCACATATATAAACGTGTGGTTCCTGTGCTGTCTGTTCCTGCAGTTGGACCAAACCTGGAGCTGCAGCAGCAGGGATGAGGATCCGGCTGCAGGGTCCCGGTCACGCCGCCGGCCTTCTCACTGAGCTCAACCGCTGCCGCCAAACCCGCCTGTACTGTGATGTTTTCCTTCAAGTTGGAAACCGGACCTTCGCGGCCCACCGGGCGGTGTTGGCCTGTGCCGGGACCTACTTCCGTAACCTGTTCACCAGAACGCCGGCCTCGTCCAGCGCCGCCTTCTCTCTGGAGTTCATCTCGCCGGCCAACTTTGAGAAGGTGCTGACATTCGTCTACACGGGGGAGATCCTGACCGATCTCATCGACGTCGGGGTTCTGTACGAGCTGGCCGAGATGCTGGGTGTCGGTGAGCTGGTCAGGGCCTGTCACGCCACCTTCCCCGACCTGCAGGCTTCTGTGACTGCAAAGTGTAAATCCAACAGTCCTGGAGACCTCGGGCTGGACTCCAGCATGGTGAGCGCAGCGTCCAGAGTGGCTGCAGCTTTCATACCTGCGTCGTCCATGTGTTCGTCCGCCACCTCCTGCTCCTCTCTGTCTTCATCGGCCGGTCCGTCTGCTGCTCCGACTCCGGCTGCTCCTCCCTCGCCGGTCTTCCAGCCCAGAGGAGCCAGACTGGGCAGCGAAACCCAAACTGGAGCTCTGACTCTGGACCTGAAGGCAGAAGACGTCCAGTCTCACATCGGCTATGGACAGATGGCAGAGCACCAGCTCCCAGGTCTGTTAACCAGCAGCAGCAGCCTGTCCAGTCAGAGCGAAGGGATGCTGCCTCCTGCCCCGGTGCTCCAGCTGAAGACCGAGCAGGGCCTGGAGGCAGGAGGCAGCTGTGAGGACGCAGACGGCCGGATGGTTTCTGAGAGCGTCAGTGGCGGTAACCCTGCACCGTCCTCCTGCTCCCTCCCAGACTCCTCGGCGCAGCTCGGAGCCGATTCCTGCACCCCGACGTCGTCCTCGGGTGAAGCTCTCGGCGACCTGCAGGTGGCGCCGGTGGAGGATGTTCAGAGGGACGGCAGGCTGATATTCGGGGAGGTGGAGGGAGGAGAGGCCGGGGGAGAGAGGGAGGCGAACGGAGCGATGGAGGCGACGGAGGAGGAGCAGTGGAGGCAGCTGGCGGGAGACATCATCGAGCTGAGTGACGACGAGAACTTCATGGAGGAGGCAGAGGAGGAGGAGGAGGACGAAGACGACCTGGTGTGTGTGGAGAACGGAGGGAATACGAGCAGCCAGGTAACGCAGACTGCTGCTGGAGCTGAAACACAGATAATGAACTGATTTATTAAGTTAACACAGAATGACTCCAGTGAAATCTCCCAAGTTTGATATCAGTGACCTGAATGTTTTATCCTGTAGGTTGGCTGTTAGAAAGCATCATCTATGGTTTTGGAGTTTTAAAACTAATTTC